CCGCTCTTTTGTTTCAGTAGCGTGTCAGCTCCGATGAATGAGACAATGAGAGCGCGATTGCGAAAAATCTCCCGCGCAAAACGGCCCGAGGTTACGCGATACTACTACACTAGTCATAATTGGAGAGTTTCTGGGCCTCTGGGGCACGAAAACTTGTTGTTTCTAATACAGTAGCCTGAAAAAACCCGAAAACAATGTCAACTAACCGTGTAATTATTCTCTCTGTTGCAGTCATTCTTCGGGAGGTCCTACAACAACTTGAGCAGCATTTCGGAGTGCAAGAATGGTGGCGAGTGTGTAATAAATAAGAAGAATCGCACTGCTTGCAAGGCCTGTAGATTACGAAAATGTCTGCTAGTTGGAATGTCAAAGTCTGGCTCGAGGTATGGGAGGCGATCGAATTGGTTCAAGATCCACTGTCTTCTGCAAGAGCAGCAGCAACAGCAGCAGAATCAGATGACAGCGCAGAGACACCAGGCGAGCAGTGCGATGAGCTCGCCGATCGGGATCCACTCGACACCGAGGAGTAAGGAGGACTCCATCATGCTGGGGATGGATGATTACAAGAATTCGACGTCTCCGTCGATTAGTTCACCAGAGTCGCATAACAGTGACAGCTCGGTGGAGGTGTCTGAGAGGCGAGCAGCTTATGGTCTGCATCCGGGCTTTAGGCCGCTGCATCCACACCTGCCAGCGTCAGATTTGTCAGCACTTGGGAAGGAGATGATGGGTCTTCCTTTGGGATTTCATCTCGGTGGAATGTCATTGATCCCTCCAACGTTCTTACCACCACCGAGTCTAGCCATGTTCTCGCCTTATCATCTGTATGCACCAGCTCATCCAAGCCTCATTCCAAATCACCCGTCAGCAGTCAGATCACCCGTTGGCAGCAGCAACACCACGACTATTGGTGCAACCAATGAGGACTGTGGGAACAACAACAATAATCGGTATACTCTTAACAACAACACGGCTAAGACGAATGATGAGTCGAATATTTCGGAGACGTGTAACAAGAGGTTCTACTTGGATGCAGTGCTGAAGAGCCAGAGGACGTCGTCAAGCCACTCATCGGCGTCTCATAAATCGAGATCAGCTGAGCCATCACCGCGGACAAGTCCAGACAGGGAATCCCTACCCCAGGACAATCCCATCGATCTCTCCATGAAGGCGAACGCGATGACCGCCAGCGATGAATCCGATGAGGATATCGATATGGAGGACAGCGACCGTGACAGTCCACCTCTCAAGAGGCGACCGATTGATCTGACAACAAGGTCGTAATAACACATCCGAAGGACACACTCATGACCATCAGCTGCATAATGTGAAGAATGCTAATTTCAATTAAATCAATTTGTTTGGTTGTTTAATTAACCATCGGAGAGAGATCTCAATGAGGATAAACAAGTTGGTGGTTAATGCTGATGGTTGGACATTGGCACGTGTTGAATACGTGTTACAAGAAGCTGAGGAACACGTGTCCCATGGATGCATCCAAGAACGTTTTATCTTGCAACTTGGGGGCTTCGATTCCCTGTCGATGTTTTTAAGCTCTACACCTTCATCGAGGGCATCTCTGTCTCATTGATTTTGTCCCTTGGCTTTCCCGTTGAGGGAGCCCACTCGGAATCTCTGGATTCAGAATGGCTCGGATGGTTGTTGTCCGCTGGAGGGTCGAGACGGATCGTGAGACATCATTTTTACGTGATTCAATGGAACTTGGCGAAGAGTCAGCCGCGAAACACCAGTCTTCCTGCTGGCAGGAGAGGGGTTATGAGCTGGACAATACCTTTACCACTGCGTTATCCGCGGACACGAGCTCATCTTGCCTTTACACAGGTTGGCTTTTAGCGGCTTGTACTTGTTTTGCATTTTCGCTTCTTTATTTTCAACCAGTCTTGGTTTTTTAATTCATGAGCTGGACGAATCGCCTTGGAAACGTGTGAAATTGCTCCATCGCGCGGTGACAAACGAAAACACGATAGTGTCGGGGGGAGAAAATGGCGGTTAGAATGTGCAATCGGCCCCGGAAAGGGGAGTCCCACAAATTTATGAAGGCTAGGGTTAGGGATAGGTTAAGCGGAAGACGGAGAATTGTGTAAATACGGGGAGCATTGGTGGGACCAAGGCCAGTTTGTTTTTATCACGTGTATATAGTAGTTGGAATGATTCTATCGCATCGGTTTAATTGTAATCGTTAATCAGAGTAGGTTAAGGCATTATGGAACGTCCAAAGACGTGGATTATCGCACTTTGTATTTAAGAGAGATGGTTTTTGTAAGAGGAGAAATATATGAAAAATTATGAAAAATATTTGTTTCATTTCTTTGGCGAGAATGGGAAAAGTGACACCTGTAATTGTGATTTTCTTTGCATTTTCGTGCTGTGAATGGATGATGGCAGTGGAAAAATATGAAAAGTACTTGGATATCCTTTAATCAAACACGTTGATTATTTTTATTGGCTTCATAATGTAGAGATGTAATCTCAACAGAATAAGAATAGAACTAGACGTTTGACTGTTCCATCTTAGCACGGAAATACGAGGTTTGCGTGTGAACCTAACAAGTAAAAGGTTACGAGCATAAATAGGCAATATAATGAAGCACGGGGTAAAGATGGCCGGGGTACTAACTCATAATGCACCCAAGAGCCATGAATATTCAACGTACACGCAGTATAAATTCCATCCTTACCTCTTTTCCTTCCCTCCAACAACTTGTCTTGTACACCCAATCTCACATACAAAACGTACGTATGCGTATAATTCACGGATACATCTATATAACCCTGGCAATAGCCGAGGATACCAGAGGTAAAATAAATTATTACGGCTCAAATATCAATTAGAGTTGGTCACAAGTGCGTTCGCACTTTCCAGTCGTGACAAGTTCTTGCTAGAATTCGTTGCAATCAGCCAATAAATAGTTGAAATTGTTTGAACTTTTGGAGAATTTTTTTTTTAGGTTTGAAATAGATTTCTGGTTAAATTCTGAAATGAATAAATTCGTTGCGATTATGGACAAATGATTTTTATAGTGGGAAATTGATTGTTTATAAATTATTCAAAAATTACTATTTTAAAATTGTTTCATCTATCTTTCGTCAAAATTAAACTTTTTTTTAAAGATTTTTGAAAGGTTTTCTACAGTTCAATATCGAGGTTCAGCAAAGTTTAAATAATAAAATCATTGTAAAATGTACAAAAACCAAAATTTTTCAAAATTCCAATTGAAAATTGGAATTTTGTAATTTTTATTTCTGAAATGGTTGGCCGAAAATTCCACAGAATTTTTTTTCAAAATCATCTCCAAAATCAAATCCAAATTTCTCAAAATCTTAAAGTTCTGGAAAAAAATATTTCAATAAAAAAATGAACTTAAAAAATCATCATTTCACATAAAAACAGATTGGGAATTGAAATTGATTTTTTCTCGAACTTGGGTGTAAAATAAAATGATAAAGTTCCCTTCAAAGGCACCTAAAAAATTCTAAAAATCGTTCCCGAAGAAAAAATATTGATGAATGGAGTCTGGTGCATCCCAGAAACAATTCTTCGTAGCAATCAAGTATTTTTTTCACCTGTCATTAATTTTTTCATCAAGTGGAATGAGAAGCTATTATCTTCCGTATTTTCCACCGTCTTTTTTTACACAAAACGTTTTTTTTATCTTTCCACGAGACTCATAGCTCTGTTATGTGTTTCTCGAATATAAATCCGTGGTTTATGTGACCACAGTTCACGCGGGGTTACCGTGGGGGTCTGAGTTACGGTTCACCTCGCATTATTAAACCCTCACGAATACATCAGGCCTCTTCACTCGTATTTTCCCGCCTTATTTTCTCCTCCCCCATGGCGTGGTGTGTGGGGCCTTTTTTCCTTTTTGGGCCATTTCACTTTTTCTTTGAAGATGTTTTTTACGCTCAAACTACTCCCACGCGACGAATATTACTCACTACCGAATAATGAGCGGGGTGATTGGTGTTGCCGTGTTTTTCGAACTTGTATATTACGGTATACGTGTTTATACATCGCGTGCATTCCCTCCCTTGAAATTTTTTGTGATTTTTTTTCTTCTTTTTTCATTCGGTATATGTTACAGGAGAGATCAAGGCTTCGGGGGTCGTTGAATTTTATTAGATATTTTCATTAGAGGTGTGGACGTCAAATTTTCAAATAATTTCTAGCGATTACAAATTCCATCTGCTTTTTCCGATTTTTTTGACATTTTCATTTCCGGAAATTTTCAATTTTTTCACTAATTTTATGTCAACTAAAACATTTTGCCCCAGGGATAGCCAATCTTTTTGACAACTTTGCAAAATCGAAAAAAAATCGAAAGCTGTAGAAATTTTGAATTTGGAAAAAAAAACTTGAAACTGAAGATTAAAATTTGAATTGGTTCTTGGAATTGAAGAATTTTTATTTTTGAAATTTTTTGCCCAATATCTTGTGAAATTCAACTTTTTGTAGTTAAAAAAAAGATCAATTGAAATTTCAATGGTTTTCAGAATTCAAAATTTAAAAAATTGTCGGATTTTGATTTTGAATTCACAAAATTTTTAATTCATTCCAAAATTGAGAAAATTAAATAATTGAAAAATATTTCAATTTCGGAAGAAACAAATTGAAGTTGAAACCAATTTTCCATTTTTCCGAATTTTTTAAAAATTTGTTTCATCTTTACATCTAAGACAGCCCATTTTGCCCCAATAATATCCAAATTTTCACATTTCAATATTTTTCCTTTTTGCAAAATTAAAAAAAACAACTTTTCAAAAATTATGAATTTTGTAAAAATTATAAAAATTGAAAATTAAAATTTGCAACGAAAAATTGTTATTTTTCACCATTTTTTCTCGAATTTTCGTAAAATTCCAGTTTTCCTTCATTTAAAAAACATCTAAAATTTACAAAAAATTATTCTCAGCATTAAACCTAAAAAAATTAAATTTTTCCCAAAATTAAAGATTGAAAAAAAAATTTCAATTGTGACTAAAAAATGAATTGAAGTTCAAATAAAACTATTAAATAACTAAAAATACTCATGTTTTCGTCTCCTAAAGTAATCGTTCATCACCTGAATTAATCCCCCAATCCATTGAGCATAATCTGCATATTCTCATTTCCCCTATTCCCCCGAAGTTCTCTTTCTCTTGGTAGCGATACAGATTGTACGCCACCGTTGAAAATTTATGTGGGCCCATTTACAAGTGGGCCGCATTCCCCACAATACCCCCTGAACGCGTTTTGACTCTCAGCCAGGCCTATTACTTATCAATTAAACCGATTTATAGGCTCTAAAGGCGTCGCAGGTCCGCCCGGGGGGGCCTATACACCACACAAGAAATTGCACCGTCGAATTCACTGTGTCCCTGCCTCTTTTCTCTCGCAACAAGGATTTTTTTTTCCACTCTTGGCCATTTTAGGGAACGTTTTTATGGGTTTTCACTTATTTTATCATCATTCTGGCTCCACTAGATATTTATTCGGGGCGGTTGAATTTACCTTTTGGTCTCTTTGTGCTCAACCCTGAACATATACAAGAGACAAATATCTCTCAATCTTCTATATTACGAGGCAACATGTTACTCTGAATATATTTATCGTTTTATGCCCTGTGGGTATTACAGTGTATCAATTTTTTTTATGAATCAGCAAGAAATATGAAGATAAAACAAAAATATAGGGTTTGAGACCCTGATTGTTGAACAAACTGAATTTTATGGATAATTAACTGGTAAGTCTCAGGTAAATGACATTACATTCGATGGAGTGTCAACAAAAATCATGAAATTTCAGATTTCACCGAAAATTAAATGACATTCAAAGGAGAATTCTCCAACTTACTTGAGTTTTAAATCAAAAAATTAATCTCCAGTACCAAATTACGCGGAGTTTTTAATTAATTGATAATTCAATCATCAATTTATACTAAAAATTCACGATTTCAATCGATTTTTCTATAAACCTCGGAATTTTCAATCAAGAAATTTCCTTGAAATTCAGAGAAACTAAAATGTCCTGAAAATTCTCCAGAAGTGCCCCACGAATTCCCGAATAATTGTCGATAAATTGAGGTGAGTGGACTCGATCGCTAGATTCATATGGGAAAGATTCCAGTTCCAACTCCAGTCCGCGCAGATTTTTAGTGAAATAATCGTAAAAGTTGAAAAGTGAGTACATGTGTATGCAAATCCGAAAACATAAATCATGGAAATGTTCAAAATGCCCTAAATTATTGATTCGAGATACAACAGGATGATGGGCGTTATGTACAAGGATTATACCGTTAAGAGACCTTTCGCTTAAAATTACAATAAAATTTCTTGAGTGATTAATTCAGTTGTGAAGTGTTGTTTTCGCTCACATCTCCCCTCTCGATGGAGACCGAACAATTTTATAGATATCCTTCTTTCTACAGCTTGTATTTTGTTCCACTACACGGAGAGAAAAATAACAGAGTTTACAAACAAGTCTTATTTGTGCCAAAAATACAGTTCGTTAAAAGTTATTAAGAAAGAATTTTTTTTCATTGCAAAAGTGGATTTCGTCTTCTCTAAACGACAAAGTTCTCAAACAAGTCTTACTTGTGCCAAGCAAATAGTTTTTTGAAAATTATCAAAAAGTGATTTTTTTTGTGCCAAACATGCAGAGAGTGCGCCGGAATGAAAAATTTTTGTTGCAAAAACAGATTTAGTATTTAAAAAAAAATTGCATTCTCAAATTTTCCTCTATATGAGATATTTTCATCCTGAAAATGCACCGTCTGGTGTGAATTATCCGCCTCTTGAGCCAAATATGTCGTTGCTGTGAAAAGCAGAACAATTATTCATGTTTGAGACTTTCAGATTTGAACCAAACAAATAATTTTTTGGCAATTTTCAACTAGCGATTTTTTTGGCCCGAACAAGACATGTTTGACGTGTCTGAATTTGAATCCCGACAGTGAACAGTTGGAAAACATTTTAAAAAACTAAAGAAAAATTTAAAAATCTATTTTTGCAGGTAGATTCACGAAATAATTAAAAAATTGCAATTTTTCACCATGAAAATCATTTGTTTGCGATCGTAACGAATTTCTTCATATTCCGAATTTTACCGGAAATCGATTTTATGGCTAAAACAAGCAGGAAACGGTGAGCATATGACAGTGAGCACATCACCGAATAATGTCTTATGTTTTTCGCCATCAGTACATTAATGGTGGACTTCCGAATGGTCTGGAACATCACAAAAGTTTATAGCTTTACAACACTGACAATGAGTAGCAGCAAAAATTTCAAATGTTTACTGCCACCTCGATGGGTGCTATAAAAATTCTAATGTTTGGAATACTTCGTACGAACGGAAGACATGAGACATTCCACAAAAAGTGTCATGGATTTCGAGCCTCCAAATTTCGATTTTGAGTTTTCATTTATATTTTCTTAATCACAGTAAAATGAGCGAACTGTGAAAATTCCAGATAATTTTTTAGTTCTTTCTGTTTTCGTATGACCGAGCTAAAAAAATATTTATCCATTTCTATTTCCAAACAAATAATTTTCATTTTCCATCGGAAATTTTTTGAATTATAAAAAAAAATATTTTCAAGATATTTAAGCCGAATTTTACCATAATAATAAGTTGAATAATAATAATAATAATAATTTTTAGTGTTGATTTTGTTTATTTTGTCATTAAACCCACCGTCGTCGCTTTTTTATGCATGGATTTTATGTAAAATTGTCTCAGCTTTTCGAGAAAGAAAAAAAAATCAAAAAAATTTGGTAGAACGCTGTCGTTTTTCATTTTTCACCATTAACACTTAGCCCAAACTGTAAAAGATAGTTGAATATCCTTAATCGAAAAATGACCCTCGAATTGACTCATCTCGTCGTACCACTTCGATATTGCGCCGATTATCTCCATTACCTTACGGTATTTGTTGAATTTATGAATAAAAATGATGGAATATCGTGTGAAAGAGATTGGAATTTAATTCAAGATATCGTCTCAGAAATTCTAGTCTGATTTATATTTTGATTATTCTTATTTTTCGATGAGACTCTGAAACTCATTGATTAATTCATGATCCAGGCGAGGAGTCATTCTGGCTTTTTTCGCATGGATTATTTAATAAAATTATTGAGGGTTTTTGATGATTACAGCTGATTTCAGATCCAAAGAATTTAGTATTTTTTAAGCAATGGCGCTTTCTGCGGTGTGAAATAATTTGTTGTGGAATGATGAGCCTTTTCATATATTCGAAAATTGATCGGGAGAAATTAACAATCTTTCTTCAATCAATATAAAAAATTTCATGTGTTTATTATTATTTTTCTTATATTCATCATCTAAACGTAATTTTGTTATTTATTTTTCTTTGCATGGAGTTTAAAACTTCTAAAATCTATACAATTCATTTTTTTATGTCGTAGCCACTATTTATCGAGTGCTAGACAAACTCTCAATTTCTTTCTTTTTTTAATAATTAAGATAATAATTTTTGAACATTCAGTAGTTCAGTTTAAATTTAATAATAAAATTATGTAAACAGAAAATTCGAAGGGATTGGAAAGATGAGGAACAAAGGCTGTGAAATAATGAGCTTTTTGATACATTCGAAGATTGATCGGGGGAAATTTAATGTCTTTCTTCAATCAATACAAAAAATTCCAGATGTTTACCATAATTTTTCTTATATTTCTTATGAAAAGGTAATTTGGTTATTTAATTTTCTTTGTGAAGGGTCCACTATTTATCGAGTGGTAAACAAACTTTCTTAATTAATTTCTCTCTTTAATTATTAATACAATAATTTTTTAATATTCAATAGTTCCGTTGAAATTTAAAATAAAATTATTTAATCAGAAAATTCGAAGGGATTAGAAATATGAGGAACAAAGGCTGTGAAATGATGAGCTTTTTCATACATTCGAAAATAGATCGGAAGGAATTGAATATCTTTTTTCAATCCCTAAAAAAACTTCGCATGTTTATGATGATTTTTCTTATATTTATTATCAAAAAGTAATTTTGTTATGTTATTTTCCTTGCAAAATGTTTAAAACTCCTATTGCATTTTGTCTAGTACAAAATCTATACATTTCATATTCTTTAATAATTAATACAATAACTTTTAAACATTCAATATTTAAGTTTAAATTTAAAAATAAAATTATTCAAACAGAAAATCCGAGGGCATTTGAAGGATGAGGAAGGAAGAATAAAAATCAATGTCTGTCGGATTTCGGCGGAAGATGATTGAGAGTGAATACTTCATAATCCACAACACTGAAATGATAATCTCCCATTAGAATCGTGTTGGAGGCATTTTCGCCATCGTAGCTATGGGGCAAATTGCTGTAGCTCTCCAGATTGTTGTTGCAGTTATTGGCAATCATCAAGTCTGCGCCTGCCCCAAATATCGGACCAATGCTGAAATGACAACAATTGACAACTGATTTTTTAAAAAATTCGAAAATCCTAGAAACTAATGTGCGAATTAAATTTTAAGTAATATCGATAAATAGGACTCAACAATATCTACATTTAAAAAAGAAAATTAAAGAAAAACTGCTCAAATAATTAAAGTTTGGTAATATTCATTGAGATATGAAAATCAATAAAAATGGAAAATTGCTGATTGCTCATTGATTGAATAATCGTGAAATTTCTTAAATCGATTCTCGATTAATTAAATATTCGTCATTCTTCAGTGGCCATTACTGAGTGATAACGTAATTAAAAATTAATGAATTGCTGATAATGTAATAATCCAAATTAATTTGATGTTATTAATTACTGCATTTCAGTTTTTGAGGAATATTTCCCAATTTAAGGGAGATAGCGAAATTTTCGTAATTACATTTGTTGTAGCTCTCAATCGGCTCTACAAAAAAGGTCATAATAAAAATGTTGCTATCTCCCTTAGATTCCGAGATATTGATTGAAAACTGGTTAATAGTCAAAATTGACTTGTACCGTTTCACCACTTCGCTTCTGATTTAAATTATATGATTGTTTCCATGACTGATCTTGATCCATGCGATCCGCCAAATAGATACTGATGTAAAAAATATTGTTGCGTATTTATTCTCTTCTTCTCTCTCAACTAAATTCATGTACGATCGTCTCGTTCTTTTTTCGTCACTCTTTTATCTTTGTTCTTAGTCTGCGGACATATTGTATCTTTTATTCATAATTTTTTTCGCCCATTTTATTTAATAAACTCATTTTTTATTTCACAAATTTATTCACATACTCTGGATGATAACAGATGGCGAAGGATTTCTTGATCAAGTCGTACTTGGTGGGTGGCACATCTTGATTGTTAGTGAGAGTAAACAGGAATGCCTTCTCTGAAGATATGTATTGACCCTTCGTCGTTGTTTTATCCCAAGCAACGTCACTGAAACCTCCACAAATTTCACCACGAGTTCCCTTGAAAATAAAGAGTGAATCATAAACATTCCCATTATTTTTCGTATTTTTAGAAAATATTTTCTGCAAATAATGGGAAAAAACCTGTGAAATGTTAAAGCCTGACAATTTTAGGAGAATTTCTCCTGTTAAAAATGTAATAATTGTTTACGTATTGACGGTTACCCCTAAAATCACTAATTAAGAAGACAAAACGCGAGAAATTTAATTCGTTCTATTAAATTTTACCATTTTAATATTGAATTGTATAATTAATTCATTTGTAATATTGAGATTCTTAGTCTTTAAAACTTCTCATAATGTTTACCAAAGCTATTGTGAAGGTAGGAGCTATGCCATCACAATGACGATGAAATGCTGCAGCTGAATATCCATGATTAGATGCCCTGGAACCAATGGAAATTATTAAAACTTTGGAATTTCACTTTTCAATTGATAAACATGAGACAATTCCCTGTTAAATTATGAAATCATACTCATTATTCTATTTATTTTCGTTATTATTGGCTGCCGGGGATTGATTAATCGAAAAAAATGCATTTTCCTCCTTTTTGTCCCATAATTTTCCATTTTCGTTAAAACTCCCACAGCCTAAACAAATTAAAATCTAGAAGATAATGAAAATTAATGGAATATACGTTAATGAAATTGATCTAATATTTTCTAGTTCGCGTGTGCTCTTGAATTTTTTAGTTAAATAATTTGATTTTTAATTGAAAGGGAAGGAGAATTTAAAATGATTTAATTTAGAATCTTGCAAATAATATGAATGTAATCCGTATTTTAGCTATTTCATCATCATTTACCTGTAAATCAGTCGCCAATTTTGCTTGGACACCCCATACCACTGATTCAAGAGTCTCTGATACCCCATTTTGTCTCGTGAGAGGATCTGGGAGTTCGGGAACAGTAGGGGACCCACACGGGGTTGGAGACGTTTGTCAGAACAGTTCTCTGCGTATTTATTAGGGACAGCTGCATATCGATATCTACAGAATATAAAATCACAATCATCCAGAAATTATAGTCAAAATCAGGAGAAAAAAATATTTGAAACAGTTCACAGCATTTTTATTTGAAATAGTGAAATAGAACAGAAAATATTTTATTCATTCCAGTTTGAGAATGAGAATTAACAAATAGACAGACCAGACAGACCAGACAGAGAGAATAATGAATGCAAAATAACTATTTTACATAGTGACAGTTCATGATGAAGAATTATTCAAAGATAAAATTATAAATAACTTTCTATCAACTCTTAAACAAGTTCGGAAATTCTTAAATAATAATAAAATACATATCTGGAGAATTATAAAAAAACAATTCGCCAAAAATTGAAGTCATGATCACTCAAAAAAATATTTGATTAGAGAAATAAAAATGAGTAAATACTATTCAATCAGATAAAGTGATGAATTCAAAATAATTATTTTACATAGCTCTCCATGAACTCTTGAACAAGTTCAGTAATTCTTGTACACTGATAGAAAAACAAAAACACGTTGTCATGAAACATGAATAATTGTTCTGCTTTCGACAGCAACGAAATATTTGGCTCAAGAGTCGGATAATTCACACCAGACGGTGCCTTTTCAGGATAAAAATATCTCATACAGAGGAAAATATAACAAATATTTTATCCCTAAGTTACAAGATTGCCATCATATCATTATTATTGTTTCATTCAAGGGTCGTTTTTCTCTCAGTGCATAGTAAAAAAAATCATCACCTTTCCAAGGAGAGTTCAATGGGAACAGCTCCGGTGGGTTCCACCTCCTCAGCGAAGACGTGGCTATCGATGAGAAGCAGTCTCACGTGATTTATCACTCCAGCCAGGTGTTGACAGACCCTAGCACGTTCTTCCTCGGTCCAGTGTTGAGTCGGTTGCGTTACACCTGCCTGGAGAAATTAGAAAGCTGCTAGTCAGCCTTATTTTGATTACAAAAGACAAAAATCAAAATAATTCTCAATGAAGTCAGAAGTGAAGTGATTCATGAAGTCTAGACTCATTCAAAAAATTGTTAAATGAAGTTTAAAAAAATGGGAAATTTCATGAGGCATTGATTCTTAAAATCGTAACGAATGACAATGTGGGGGTAGAAATTTTTATCACATTCACCTGATACTTGGCCCAATTGAGAACAGCGCGCCACACATCTTCCTCCTCGAGCCCCAGATAATCAGATGAAATTAATTTAACGAGCGCATCTTTGGGCAGATTGCAGAATGCTGTTGTCTTCACAGTGTCCAGAGCATTGTCTCCAATGAATGCGTAACATCGTTCGATGAATGACGAACAGGCACCTTTGCCACCTGAATATTTTTCAAATAAATCTTGGCAAATGGGAGATGAAATCTCTGAAGGCCAAGTGAATGATAAAAATAAGTCTGTAATGATTATTTTTGTTTTATTGTCTAGATACCAAAGAAAAATTCCCAGAGATTTCTTCGATAGTTCGTAAAATTGTCTACGAAATTTGTGAAATCTCAAAGAATGAAAAAATTTCAGTTTTTCAGGTACAAATATCTGCGAAACTACTGGATTTAAAAAAAAAAGTCAGAAGATCATTTTGATACCCCTTGGAATTCTCTACAATAAATGTATTCACAAAATTTTCGCTATCTCTCTTAGATTTCAAGATATCCATCAAAAACTGATCCTCAACTGAAATCAGCTGTTCCATCCTGTTGAATCACTTCACTACGAACTTTAAATTATCTTCAACAGTAAACTATTGAAAAAACACCGTCGTATAATATTTTTCTAGATACAATACACCTTGGAAAAATGAATAAGTGACAGAAAATATTTAATTAATTTTTTTAGAGAGTAATTTCCTCCAGAAATACCTCGCACATGCAATTATTGAATTAGTTGTTGAATTTTGAAGGTAAAAAAATGAAATAAAGACGCTGAACACTATTGATATATCCAAATCTTACTTTACTCATCCCTTCGTTTACAAAATATTGTACAGCTCAATGCCTCATTGCTCCAAAAGTAATGGAAAATTAAATCTATCAGAAAGTCTTTCTCATCGTTTGTAAATATATCACTGCACAGAACAGAGTGTCCTCGACAAACTGGAACAACTCCCCAAAAATCCCCTCTGGAAGTTTGTTTTGAAGTCTCAAGACTCGACTCGGAGCATCCTCGGAGGTTATGTTGGCTAGTTGGCCCCAGGATTCGTGTTCTGTATGAGAGTGATGTTGTCACCCTTCAGCATGATGCGCCCCAGCTGTTTCCTGGCCTTCGTCTTCACGTGGTACTCCTCGGCGTCGTCCAGCACCAGGTTCATGTACTCGTCGAAGCCGACGATGTGTCCCTCGATTCTGAGGTTAATGTTCTCGAACAACCACACTTGCACCCTCGAACGATTCTGGAGGTACCTGAAGATGAGGTTGATGGGCTGCACCATCACCTTCTGCACCTTCTGGGGCCCCTTGTACGACATTTTCAGGGGTTTTGTAGGGGAACAAGGGCCTTCAAAGTGAAGCGTTTGCACGACGCGTGTTTTGATGATTTTTATCGGGCGGAATGCCGGAATGAGGGGGAATATGGCAGCGGTTGGACAGGGTGGCGCGGTCATTACCTATCGGTCATTATGCGTGGGGAAATGCGGAATTCCCTAGAATTTACTAGATTTTGTGGCGGTTCGAATTTGGATCGACGGATTGACATTTGGCATTATTTCTTGAATTGAGATATTTCGAGTAGCATTTTATTTGTCATGTATGATGACCCTAAAATACAATTTTAAACCCTTATAAACCTTTTTTTATTCAACTACTTCTCCTGTGGACATTCAAATATTTAAAACAGAGAATTGACGATTTTTCAACTCATCTTTGCCTAGAGAGTAAAAAAATCAAATTCGTTTTTCACATGAATATCAAAGAAATTGTCGAGATTTACCCTCGCCAGTAGACACATTCATCTTCTGTTGGCAAAGAAGAAACACCTCCACTTCCTCAAAAAAATAAATTTAAAACATCGATAACAGATGGCGAAGCAATCACTCCAAACTCCCAAAATCCAATTTTTACGATTGCTCGCGTGCATTCGAAATGTTATTATAGTTATGGCGATCCCGTAAATCCCCTCAAGCACATTCTGCATTAACCCGCCATATGAACGTGAGAAACGCGACGTAAAAGGCCATTCAACCTCCGTATCAGGTGGAATGACTCGGTTGATGGCATAATTAAGACAATTTTCACTCCACAATAATCCCACTAAAATCGCGAAATGAGAAAACGAGACTAAAAAAAATTTCATACACCATCAGGAGCAACAATTAAAGAAAATGTACAAATTTTTGTTCATTTATAGATTGACATTATAATACGATTAATTAATATATAAATTAATTTATTTATTTTGGGAATTCATCATGAAATAATCAATGGAATGATTACTTCCCGAATGTGCAATATTGAATGACTTAATTAACTCCCGAACATTTCTCATTAGAATTTCGTTTTTCTATACAACTCTTTTTATTTCCCAATTTTTTCCGCTTCTTTTTTTGCTTTTTACTAAAAAAAATTGAACAAAAAATCTGGAACATTCGAGTCGAGGAATTTCTACAGAAAATATCTGAATAGAAATCCAATAGAATTTTTTACTGAATCCGTTAGGTTTTTTTTATTGAATTCTTTTCAATGTTAAAGCATTCAAAAATTAATCAAACATTTTCAATACCAGAAAAAGCATTTGGTCAAATTTATTTTTTCGCAACGGAAACTATTTTATAGGAAAAATCAGTAGAATTTCGTCATTCTATACAACATTTTCTATTGAGACATTTTCCAATTTTTCCGCTCTATTTTTCTCTTTTTACTAAAAAAAATTGAACAAAAAATTCGGAATATTCGAATCGAGAAATTTTAACAGAAAATATCTCAATAAAAATCCAATAGAATTATCAATTGAATCCGTTAGGTTTTTTTTACTAAATTCTTTTTAATGTTAAAGCATTCAAAAATGAATAAAAAATTTCAGTCGATTATTTAGTCGATTATTTCGTTATCACTCATCCCAAATTCAAATAATAGTCATTAGTATCTGCAATAAAGGGGAAATACCTCGAAAAATATCCGGAAATTTTTCCGGCATTTTCAAAATTCTCCGAATAAGTGAGAGCTTCCCTCATGCGGTATTCCGCGGAGCCCCTTCATACCACCCATATTCCGGTCAGGCTGTTCGTATTAAATACGAATTAAAATAATGAAGATTGATGACACTAGAAATGTCATGTTTTTACGGGTCACTCGTTACCCCCGGGCTTCCGGTCGAAAAAGACAAATCAAATGCAGACGCGTCATGTCAGCAGGAGTGCATCTCGTTACCACTTGAATGAATTTTAAACAGGGGAAAAACTAATGGTATTTGCCGTCAAACTAATTTCATTCATGTTTTATTTTGCCTTCCACCGGAACAGATGCGCTATTTTTTTTTATTCACGTAGGTAATCGATAATTCTGGGTTAGCTGTGATTTAAAACATCCAATATACCTGCCAGTGAGTTGAAAGGCTTTGAGGATACGCTTTTTCTATCGTCTCGAGGCAATATCGAACATCGGGGTACGATAAATAATTCAGAAACGAGTCTGGATGTACCTTTCCTGGGATAAGGCTGGATTAATTTCAACTCCAAATTGGGAGAATTTCATGAAGCCGAAATGAGGAATGGAATGTAATTATGGTTTGAGATTTGATTTAGATTTTTACGACACTCGATATTTTAGTCACTTCCATGTGTGATACTGAGACATTTTTTTCAAGTTTTTCCCAGGGGATCACTAAGAAATCCCATGAAATCATAAAAATTTCATAGCAATTCTCTCTCAAAGTAAAAAACAAGTGGGAAATTGCTTCCGTCACAGCATAGAAGTTTGGCAACCCATATTACCTCAACATTGATAGCCAACATTGCCCCAACGTTGACAGCCAACATTGCCTCAACGGTGGCAACGGAGTTGCCCCAATGTTGACAGCCAATATTTTCTCAAGGCTGACAGTCAATATTACCCCAACATTACCCCAATGTTGGTAGCTAACATAGCCCCAACGTTGGCGACCGACATTGCCCCAATGTCGGCAACGCTGGAATTCAATGTTGGCAGCCAGTATTGTCCCAATGTTGGTAGTCAGCATTGCCCCAACATTGGTCGTCAACATTGGCTCAACATTGCCCCAACGTTAGTAGCCGACATTGCCCCGATGTTGATAGCCAACATATCCCCACCGTTGGTAACCGACATTACCCCAATGTCGGCAACGCTGGTATTCAATGTTGGCAGCCAGTATTGACCCAATGTTGGTAGCCAGCATTACCCCAACATTGGCCGCCAACATTGGCTCAACGTTAGTAGCCGACATTGCCCCGATGTTGGCAACCAACATTGCCCCAATGTTGATAACCAATATTGCCCCTACCGTAACGGCCAACATTCGCCTCCTAAGGCCAAAAGTAATTATCCTGCTACAAAAAATCACTGATTACTCACCGAGAACTCTCTCCTGGGCATCCAATGCCGCGGTCAGAAGTGCACATGCATTACCAGGACTCAGCGTAGCAGAAACATGCTCCTCGCAACTCCGCCAAAGCTCCTCGACACCCAATTCCTGGGCAAGTGCCAGCATCTCAAAGATACCGCTGTCCTGCAGCATAATCTGAAAATGGAAAAATCGTCACATGAATTCCCCGGGCACTTCGTGGTCAGTCCCCGAGCCAATATCACCAAGCGTTATTTCACCTTTCCAGTGTACACGTAGTGCACGAATTGCCGGAATGTTTCTGGATGTGCATGCGGCATGCGGACTGGAGTGGGATTCCCCGATGCGCCGATTCGCTTCGGTGCGGTGAAATTCTTACATCTGGGGGCGGAAAATAAATATCACTGTTTCGGGGAATTTGATACGAGGCATTTTATTGTTGGAAAAGTGTTTTCTCCGAGGTGTGGAAAAATGAGGGGAGTGAGAGAAGTGAAAATTTGGCTCGAGGGCACGTTTCAGCTCGGGTAACGAACACTCGAGGAAGGGAATGACTCTTTGGGACATCTAGGTTGTCATCAGACTCTTTTTTATTATGGGGATGGATCTAGGGTTCGACAGAAGGACTTAATTGACTTCGTCAGTTGGTTCACATGTTTTTTTCCCAAATTTTATGATGAAACATTAATTTGTTGATTTATAAATTTATGGATTTATTCATTGTCAATTGAAATATCAAATAAGACGTGTTATTTGATTAAAATGGATAAATAGTATCAAGAAATGTTCAAAATTAAGAGGTGGTTGATAGGTTTGGGCGCCACCATCTTTTTTAGATGCCCGCTCTGCTGCCAGGGGCTTTAAAAATGGCGACGCTCCCACCTCGAGTTTTTAAACATTTCTTAAAATTATTTATCCTCTCACGATCACCCTCAACTCACTTCATCCAGTTTCTACTAAATGAACAAATTTTTTAAGCCATCATTCGGATTTTTCCATCCCCTTTCAGCTGAGAATTCACGACGCAAAGTTTTCCCCGCATTCAATAGTTTTTTCATCCTCACGAAGCCTTTTTCAATACATTTTTCTGCAATATCATATCTTAAATCCAGAAATGTCAGGGACTAATTGAGTGTCTTCATCCAATCCGCAATAGAACGCATGGCATACACTCTAGAATGAACTTTTGCCCCCAGCAAATGAGAGAATCAATGAGATTTTCCTCCATTCATCGAAATCCCTCAGGAGCGTCGAATGAAAGGCAAGATGAGGCTTAAAGTCCCTGGATTTTCACATTCTGCAGAAGTGAGCAGAGAAAAGGTATCTATTGAACGCAGGAGACTTGCTCACAAGCAATATGTAAAGGGACGCATTGAATCAAAAGAAATGTGTCAAAGGCTCTGGGCAAAGCTTGACGGCGAATAGTTCATACGTTACAGGCGTTTGATGGTTGCGTCGTTGGAAAAAGAAGTTGGAAATGCGATAGCACGCCCTCTCGAGGTGTGTTTTTTCATGCACGAGCCTAAAAACACAGTCGTAACACTCAAAATGGTTGAAAAAAGAAAAATCAACATCAGTCACACGAGTGAGGGGAAACTTCTCACTGATATTTTTTCAACTCTTTGATGCTTTTGAAAAGTACACGGAATTCTAGCTTCTTGAATTACCAATGCCGAGGCGAAATATTTGAATTAAAGACATCATTTTTTTCAAGGATTTTTTTTCGTTTGATGTTCACTACCTGAATTCGTTTTCTGCCTGTTAAAGCCACGATTTTTACATGTTTGAGAAATATTTTAGCGAGGGATTCGGAATGTGTAAAAGGACTGGGGGTAATTGACGTGAAGGTGGAATTAATTATCATATTTTGGTTTTTTTCGTGTCAACGGAAGTTGGAGATCACGAGTGTCTAACGCTCGATTATAAAAGTAGAAAAGCATTTCACTGGAGAAAGAATAGCAGAAGTACTCAATATTTATCCTTAATATTTCTCACCGCAACATTCAATCTCGCAAATTTGTCGACAATTTCTACTAGGGTATGGATGAACAATCCTAAAAGGGAAAAATATCCATGCAAAATAAAAAATTATCATTCACACGTCAAAGAAATTGGAAGAGTTCAAACGCCGAGTAATAGGGAGGAGAGAAAAGGCGATAGGGGCTGATGAGGGTGAAGGCTTTTTTTTCATGGAAACTGGAGGTGAGGCTCTGCGGCGTGAGGGTTCAATGTCGCCTCTGGGCTTGGGTACTAACGACCAAAGCACGATTATACACACGTCCAATGTCTGCATTCGTGAAGTACAAGCCGATTTCGAACAAAAGTGCGCGAAAAACCGCGTCGAGTCTTTCGGTACACCGAAACCTCCTGAGGGCTCTTCCACTCGTTTTTTATTATCCTTTTCTCTTTCTCTTCGGCGATTGTTCTGATTTCTCTTCTGGTTGGCAGGGGGGGAAGCCAAGGCCGATTGTTGATGTAATAGCTTTAGGGGAAGATTGGTTATATCGGTCGTGAATTTTTTCTCCTGAGGGAATTACCATGTTTGAGATTATTTGGAAATCATTTGGGAGAGTAGAATGGAGTGGCAGAATATGTGGGAGAATATTAAGATTCTAGATTAAAAAAATAAGTACTGGGAATTGAGATTTCAATTCAAATTAAGACATTGAGGATATCCAAGTAGTTCAGGCAATTTTTTCTGGGGAAAATCCTCTTCAACGAGCGAGCGAACTGTGAGTTCCGTAATTTTTGCTGATCATTTCCCTCCGTGCCGCAGTAATCCAAACAGTATTTCACCCAATTCTCCACGTGGAATTCCTCTTGATGTTTTCTCAATTTTTTTCCCTGTTCCCAGATTACAGCAACAGGGATTACAGTGCACGGGTTTCCACTACGTGCAGCTCCCCATATGCGTCACTATTTTTCTTTTCATTCTCATCCCATTTTTTTTTTTCGTTCAACTCGCGCCGAACACGGCGACGTCTACTCGGAAATAATTCCACCACTCCCTCAAAGTGCGGTGGCACATGACTTCCTGGTGTGGTTTTTCTCCTTGCGGCGGGCGTCATTAAAATTGACCCACAATCGTTATCGAAGTTGATTCTGACAAACCAGAGTGCGAGCGAAAGGGGTAGGTGTTTTTTGTGCTCACACTTCCCTATTCTCCACCGAGTCAAATGGTTTCCTCATTTCCCGCGGTATTTTGTAGATTTTACGGTAAACTTGAGGCGGAATAATTGCACTCGTTTTTTTTTTCATTGTGTTGGGGCTCTTTGGTTGGGAAATCATTGTTTGAAATCTGGCCGAACGATTTTTAGGCGCAGACATTTTTGTCTCCAATCTAAGACATTTGTGTCATTTTCACTTTTATTTCAGAAAGACCCAACAGCACAAGGTCAATTACATCAAGGATTTTTCTAGGGGGAAAGTCGACTTTCGCCAAAATCGAATTTTTCAGCCGGGTGAACGTTGATTCCAACTATTTAAGCGACGGGCTATTCAGAACTCTCAAAAGTACGTGGAAAAAGTGAAAACTGAAAAAAAAATTTTTTTCAGATTTTCGAAGGGTCAGATTTTCCGTTTTTCCAGGGGGAAAGTCGACTTTCGCGAAAATCGAATTTTTTAGCGGGGTGAACGTTAATTCCAAATATTTAAGCGACGGGCTATTCAAAACTCTCAAAAGTATGTGGAAAAAGTGAAAACAGAAAAAAAAAATTTTTTTTAGATTTTTAAAGGGTCAGATTTTCCGTTTTTCCAGGGGGAAAGTCGACTTTCGCGAAAATCGAATTTTTTAGCCGGGTGAACGTTCATTCCAACTATGTAAGCGACGGGCTGTTCAGAACTCCCAAAAATATGTGGAAAAAGTGAAAACAGAAAAAAAAAATTTTTTCACATTTTCGAAGGGTCAGATTTTCCGTTTTTCCAGGGGGAAAGTCGACTTTCGCCAAAATCGAATTTTTCAGCCGGGTGAACGTTGATTCCAACTATTTAAGCGACGGGCTATTCAGAACTCTCAAAAGTATGTGGAAAAAGT